TTTAGTTTCCCTACTAGTTACTCATTTCCTTTATTTAAATTCATGTCCATTTAAAGTTTATTCATGGCGCCTGGTAACCCTCAGCAAACCCGTAGCTTTTTAACAGAGTAACACACATACTCACAGCTTCATAATGAATTCAGGGCAGTTTGTATGACTCATATCGTATGTGAAGCATGTCTCTATCTACGTCTCTACCAGACTTTTCATTTTCACGTTCTCACCGCAGCAAACTAATCTGCTCTTGTGTTCCTCAGCCGTTCTGTTCTTTACACCTGCACCTTCATGTGTCGGAGAATCCTTACACCTCAGGAAACATCGTCAGCAAAGACTCCGCTCCAGGAATCATAATAGCATCAGGTGAGGAGATTATTTGATTTGCACATCCAAGTCTGGGCTTTAATGCTGTGCCTCAAGATCCAGATCCCTCAGCCACCCCCCAGTCAGATCCCTTCTCTGGTTCTGATGAAAACGGTCTGCACATCTGTTCCATGTTACTTCAAAGGATAAAACATGTTGTCTTGTCTGAGAAAATACACATTTGAGTGTGTGTGTGAAATAGTGATGATTAAAACTACTGCTTTTCTGCGTCAGGTGTTGTTGGACCTGAGCTGACCAACACTAATGTCAGTATTTTCATCACATCCGATGCTGGAAACACCTGGAGAGAGGTAGGGCACAATAACAATAATGATACAAGTACTACAGAGTATGATAATGTTTTCTATGAAATTGTCCATGCTACAAAACACAAAAATATATATTGCTTTAATGAAGAATACAAAAGGTAAACAAGGAATCAGGCTTAGTATTTATTGCCAGCTTTCAGTTCAAAAGATTATAGAATTGAGGTTTGACACCCGGTGCATCTCTGATCTGCAGCACAAATAAACCAAAAGGAGGGCACACATTTTTTGCCATCGGCTCAACTCAGGAATTCAACAAAGAGAGCAACACACGCTTGATGTGTTTTTTATCTATTCTCACGACTGAGACTCTTGTGTAAAGACAAGTTGTGGTTTCATGCTTTAATGTAGGTGTAAGTGTGCCTGTTCCTCGTGTCGTAGACTTGAGTATTTCTCTGGTGAGATGATGTGATGCTGGTCGTCTTGTCTGCAGGTTTTTCAGGAAGAGTACAGTGTGTTTTTCCTGAATCAAGGAGGATCTCTGGTGGCCATCCGACACACACCTCTGCCAATTAGACACATTTGGTAAGGTCCTCCGAGGAGGCACCGCATCTTTTTTAGCGCCTGCACTCAATCTTCAAAACAAGAGGAGAGACTGCATTCCTGCTGAAGCTCTCTCGTGCTGAATTCAGCTCTATTTGTGGCGAGTCTGACTGTGATTCAACCGTTGCTCTGTCCCTCAGGCTGAGTTTTGATGAGGGCAGAAACTGGGACAAATATAGCTTCACCTCCTCTCCGCTCTACGTTGACGGGGTGCTGGGGGAGCCTGGAGAGGACACCCTCATAATGACGTAAGAACTGAAGGAACCATAAAGAGCTCATGTGGTTCTTCTTAGTTAATTACTGCACTGGTTAATTATATATTACTCTGATGAAGACTTAGAAGTGTACATGAATATTCTTGAATTAGTTTGATCTTGGTTTGAAAGGGTTTCATTAGCTTTCTTATGAGAAAAGAGGAGTTTCTCAACCTTTTTTTCTCAAATCTTCCACAGTTCACTTCAGTTTTCTCTGACTTGTTTGTGCAGAATATTTGGTCATTTCAGTCATCGGTCCGAGTGGCAACTTGTCAAAATTGACTTCCGGTCCATTTTTCAACACCGATGCACATCTGAGGATTATCTGACATGGCAGCTGCACAGTGAGGTAAGAGGGTCTTGCTGCTACTTGACTGCTGAACATCCACTCATTGATTAAACTGAAGTGAATTTGCTTTATGCAGTCGCACAATAAAAGAAAAGAAAAGAACCTCTGAAATGTTTATGATGCATTATTCATCACAGGGGGAAGTGTGCATCATGGGAATGAAGAGAATCCTCCAAAAACTTAAAACAAACGTTCGATGTGTCAAGGCCAGAGATCAGTATATTTCCCAGATGTCGGAGTCTTGCTCGTGCACAGAAGCAGATTTTGAGTGGTGAGTTCCCTGCTCTGCAGCTACTCCTTTCACTTCATTAAATCCAATGCACAACACTTTATCAATCTCCAGAGGCAGAGTCTGTGAAGCAAACCTAAGGCACAACAGGACAAGTGTTTGAAGACTGTTTTATAATTCACCACGTGTTATTCTGATTCAGAATCCGTTGTTTTTACTTTGAGCTTATTTTGTCACATAAGATTGGTTTAATCAATGTCCCCTTTTTTTCTAAATTTTGAAATATATATATATATATACCACAAGATTGTGAATGTGTCTAAAATAATCAGAAGGAATCATAAGACAAAATTGAATTCTTGATGTTATTTAATAATGTTATAACAATGATCCGTCACTGCTTTATGTTTTTTCGTACATCACGTGCACCTGACTAGATTTACCTTAACAATTACTCTGATGTGTCACTCTGTGCTTTTTTTTACGACGACGACTTCATTAAGTGTTGCCTCAAGTTAGGACTTCATGCACGTCACTCCGCTCGGTGTCATACTTTCTTTTAACTGTCTCTCAAGGTGCTAAATAATCAGCACTGACTATGCTATCACACGCTTAACACCACTTTATCACTAAAAGACTCATTAAACTTTTGCAACTCTGGCCCCTGAGACTGTTTCCCTGATCGCCATGAAAGAAATATGACTGTTCCCTCTGACTTTGCCAAGGTGTAATTACAGTCAGTGTAAACACGAGCGATGCTTTTTTCTGCTTCAGAAGTTTGGTGCATAAAACGTCAACTCTTGAATACTCTGGACTGTACTGTTGTGATTTCTCCAGCATTAGAAAACCTCTGTTCAGTGTAAACATACACTTATTGTGTGTGACTCAGGTAAACGTTGATATTTTGAATCAATGATAACTAATCTTAAGGACACCCTTGCGGATCTTTTTCTGTGTTTCTGACACAGTGACTATGGGTTTGAGAGGCAGATTGATGGGAGCTGCTCTCCGGCTTTCTGGTTCGTTCCTACAGCGACAGTGAGGGACTGCGTCAAGGGGGACAGTTTCCTCAACACCACAGGGTACCTGATTGCCCTTGGATACATTTAAACTCAGCTCTCTTGAAAACCTGCCATTTTGTGGGAAAAGTGTTGTTATTACGCACTACACATATTCCATGCATGGTTGATAACCTTCAGAACAGATGAGAAATGACAAGCACACAAACATATTTTGCTACCTCTGACAAATGTTTTCCTGTGTGTGCAGCTGCTATATGTATTGTTGTATGCATGGTAGGATGTCTGTTTATTCACTCGTGTAATGTTCCTCTTTGTCTTTAATGAACTCCAGATATCGCAAGGCCTTGTCTAACAACTGCACCGAAGGAACTCTGCTCAAGTACAGCCCCAGGCGACAGAGGTGTCCCAGTCAGGCCCCCAGGGGCCTCCAGCTCTTCACCAGTGAGGGAACACTGGTTGCAACACTGGGGAAGAATGTCACCTTCTTGGTGTTTCTGGAAGAGGTGCTGACTTCACTCAAAACAAGCAACAGCATTGTGTATCACAGGGAACATGGCTGGTGTGTATGTAGCACAGTGACTGGAGCACCAGCAGCTGCAAATAAATATTCAGCTAAATGTTTTGCCACTTGACCTTGTTCCAGAAGATATTACGGAGAATGCCCTCTGACAGACAACTGGGGCTACGGTGTGAGTGACAATATATTATTTTCTTTGTGAAGGGTCTTGGCTCCACGACGAGTATAACAGTGGACTTTGGAGATGGGACGGCCATATCGTACGTCAACATAAGCTCCATCGACGACGGCATCAAGCACATCTACAGCAAAGTCGGCATCTACCATGTTTCTGCTACAGCGAGCAACACGCTGGGCTTTGACAGGGTGATACTCTATCTTCACATCTCCTGTGAGTCTCAAATCTGTTACAAGATATAAAATGTATGTCCAAATTATTTTAATGTGAAAATATGAGATGAGCTTTTTTTTAAATTATCATCAGCATTATTTTAATCACTTGCTAAATACCTCTTTACCCAGAATGTGGATTTACTATAAACAACTGACGCGTGTATTTCCAGCCTCATGAGAAGGTGAACAAACTATTTTTGTTAACATCAAAGGGAGAATACATTATAAGCTCGTCTTGATCCTTCATCAGCTAATCATAGACTGTGAGATCCAGCAGCCTCAAAATAGGTCAAAATACTTCAACTTTTCTGCCCTTGGAAAAAAAAAAGTAAGAAACACAGTGAATGTGCTCATGACTCTTCTGGAACTTCAAATGGGCTCATTAAAGAGAGACTCCATTCGAGTTCTCCATCCAAAGCTTTGAGTGTCACTCACTCGGGCTGCGTAGGCATGAAAGATGCCTGTTTGTTGTTTCCTCATTGACAGAGAAGAGCGGCGTTTGTCAGTTTGAATTCACCTCATTATAATGGAATCCAATGGTGACACTTTCATGGCAGCAAAAAGCATCAAACTATCCACAGGCACTTGTCAAACAACAACTTCTCCACCATCTCTCCCTATCCTCACTGTGTTCCACATAGTGGCTGTTGTGCCAGATTTCTTTTTTGCCTCATGTGCCTTTGGCTTAAAGTTTGAGCATCCTGGAAGCAGGACTTTTCGTCTTATGTAAGAAAATTGTGAATTTTTTGTGTTTGTGTCTTCAGGTCAGCTTGAGCAGGTCCAGCTCTCGTCTCCTTCAGTGGTCGTCAAGAACAAAGCAGTGAACCTCACCACGGTGTTACGGCCCAGCGATGTGGGAACAGTCATCTATTACTGGTGGTTAGATAACAAAACTGAGGTAAATCTTCATTTCTTATTCTCAGCCACACTTTCACTCAATTTCTTGAGTGAAATGATAGATTCATGAGTCTTAGCACATTTCCCGCTCTCTGCCCCCCCCCCTCTCTCTTTAGCCTGTTGTGACCCTGGACGGAACCATGTCCTTAACTTTCTCCAAAGAGGGAAGATACACGGTCACCGTTCAGGCATCAGTTGGCAATACTGTCCACCAGGACCAAATGACTGTAGCAGTTTACGGTGAACCACATATTCTCATTTTACTTTATTCACCACATTTAAACAGTTTCTGAATGTAACACAGTCAAAACTCAGGAGTCAGTTTTGTGTGTTTGAAGTAATAGGTTAATAGAAATGCTGTGAAATTGAAATGGTTTCGTTTCCATATTAGCATCTTGCTATAAGAGTAGTTGTATAAGGTTAAGTGGGACCACATTCCAACTTGCAGATGAAGGTCACGAGATTTGCTGAAAGCTCAAGGCCACAAAGAAATGACAATTGTTAGACTTAAGAATGATTTAATTTGATAACACAATAATGAATTAAGTTTATTAAACTTAAGTTATAATAACCAAATCGCTAACTTGATTAAGTTCTTTTTATTCAGTGTAGGTGAACTTTGTAATAAGAAATCTTTTATTGAGATGATATTTTCATGGTCACGAACTTTATATAAACTTTGAAGCCCTTTATTATAATTAGCTTGTAAAATAACACACAGTAAATTATATTTTCTTAAGGTATGAAAAACATTTCTTTCTCTAATCATTTCTGTTAAAATGGTTTTGCTCTCACCATTAAGGTACAGAATTGACTCAGCCTATAACCCCTGCAACATAATGTAGTAGCTGTTATTTGATGACTGAAGTGGATTATTGTGAAATGGGATTCCACAAAATGAGTCCAGAAAGAAGACGTACATTAGCTGAATTTAATTTCTATCTATTTCAGATTATTTCCGGTCGCATGTTTTGGCCTTCTCTTCTAATTTGGATGAGCTGAACCCTGGGGTGTCTGAGTGGAGAGAGGATATCTGCCGAGTGGTGAAGAGCTCCATGGTTCAGGTCAGTTTTCAGCTGCGAGCTGCTCCTATGAAAGACATAATAAGAATTGAATCAAACTCCAGAGGACCTCGTTGTAGCAATTAGGAGCTTTGCACCAGCCTGGAGAGAATAGCTTGAATCTCTGTGTACTGAGCCGATGACATTTCCTTGCTTGGTTATGCTGCTTTTGTAATGTATGCATGCGGCCTCGTGTCAAGTGTTGCACTTCGCTGCTTGAGGTTTCCTTAACCTCCCTTGCTGTGTAATTAGTTGTTCACCTCTGTGCTCTGGGTGACAAATGAAAGGAAAACCCTGAAGAGTGCAGTCATGACAAATGCAGATGCATCTTCTCTTGCTGTATCCAGTATGGAGTAAAGTCATGGTGGAGCTTTTGGAGACAACGTGTATTGTGGTAAATCTACACTTCCCAAGCAAACACTTTCAACACTGTTGGTTTTAAAACCTCAATTCTTCAACACAGCTGTTGCGTTTCATTTTGGCAGACCCAGGCACACTAGATATGGTTTAGTGGTGATTTATTAAATGTCTTAAGTTTAGTGGTTGGATCTGGATCTCTAAAGGGAGCACAGATGGAGACAGGCAGGTGTTGCTGTAGGTTGCTAGTGGACGCAGCGTGGCAGGAGCTTATCGGCCGGCGAGCAGGCGGAGGTGATTGGCGGCTAGTGCGGAGGTACTGGCAGCAAGGACGCAAAGGATTAAATGAGCACATGGAGAAATTTCAGAATAAACACTTGAGTGGCTAAGAGTTTAGCCTACTGTGGAATTCCTGACAACATGGAGGTGGGTAGCTGGAGTTCTTATACTGCTGGTGATGAGAAGATCAGGGGCCAGGAGTGGAGGTTGATCAAGAGAGTGAAGCTGCACCCACGGCACCCACACAAATATCGGCTTAATCCCAATGTCCACCCGAAGGAATCAAACCATGAACCCTCACAGACTTCAGAGATGCTTCAAGGGCTCAAATAAATAGGAATGGAACAGCATGTTGCACCATTTTTATTTTACTTTGGCAAGTTTGGGACTTTTTTTATGTTGTGTACTTTCTTCACGGCCAAAGTGCTTGAGGGAGCGACTGCCTGACATCAAGGTCCAGGCTCATGAAATACAGAGAGATAATTCTTCAATAATTAAATTAACTCTTTTTGTAAAATAAATAAAAAAATAAAAAAAGAGTAACTACAAATATTATAACTATGAATTAGCATTGATTTCTGTGTTTATACTTACATTTTATCTTGTAATGGCATCGTCGGGATTGGTTGTTTAACCGCGTCACAACGCTTTGAATTGTGGGTTAATCTCTTTGGCTGCAGAAATGCAGATTTAAAGGTCCAGTGTGTAAGATTTAGGTGAGAAGGGACTATTGGCAGAAATTTTATATAAAATTATCACTAGTTTTTAATCATTTAAACAGTACAAAATGTTTTTCTTTCACCTATGGGCCCTTTATATTCAAAAAGGTTATATTTACAGGAGCAGGTCCTCTCTGTACACAGACAGAGGGGAGGAGGAGACACTATGGGGGACAGGGTGAAACACAGAGACACAAGGGAAACCTGGAGCCATGGCTGAGCCGAGACAAAGGCTTCATCAAACAGCCTTCAGTTTCCTGGTCTCAACCCACCTCAAGTTGTGAAAATACAAAATAAAATAAAATATGTTTTAGTTCATTTTTGTTTGTTTGTAGAATTCAGACTTTTGGAGAATCAATGAAAGAAAGAAATTGGGATGTTTTTGAGGCTCAACATGCAACAACATCTAACAGAGACTTCATGTTGTTTTTTTGCATTCATTTGTCTCCCATCTGTAGCACATCACCCAACATCATGATCAACAGCACTGTTTCAGATGAACTTGTCAAAATAATAAAGGTCAATAACATTCCTGCTACGACAGCTTCCATTTGCTTTCAAAGAAAACTAATGCCGGTGCCTCTAGAGAACGCTGCAACCTCAAGTAACGTGAGCCCACCGTGGTTAAGTGCATCTGCGTTTCCCTCCTATACACTGCGGGGATGTCAGAGAAGCCGCAGGTAATGAAAAAGAGCAGAACACTGAGCTCTATATATAACCTACGGTACCCCTCAGTATGAAACATTCACTTTGACCTTCTGTCTTGTCAGGTATTACCCGGGTTTACACCTGGAAACTGACAGCAGACCTCTGCTTATGGCGTAAAAGCACTAAAAGCATTGGCCCTTACAAACTGTCAAACTGCACTTGCAGGTTTTAGTTGATCCGTGCATCATATCTGGACAGAGGCTGGTACTTATGCAAATGATACGTGAAGCAGGGAGGCCGCGGTATTTACTCATTGATACAGGCGACCCCCCCAAGAGTCATATCTCAAGGCCCAAAGGTTAGAATGTCACCCAAAACATTTCCAATCAAAAACCTGTTTAATGAGGTTCTGTTGTTCTTTATTAAAGGTCACAGGAATCAGCGCGGATCAGCTCCTGGTCACCGTGCTTCCAGGTTTACCGACCACGGCGGAGGTATTTATCGTGCCTGAGAGGAGGTCAAGAGACGGAGCCGCGGGTGAAAAGTGGGCGCACCTGGATCAGGTACCGTCTCATCAAATCGGATTTAATGGCCCCTGGCAGATGCTCGCCCCGATGTGGTGTTCTGTGTAATTAAAGCGGCATAAAAGTGAGCTGAGCGGGTTGAGAGGCTCCAGAGGGAGAGAACGTCCCTGGAGAACATGTTCTTTACTTTAGAGTGTCACACAATGCTTCTGAGTTATGACTTTGAGCTGCTGTTGTATTAAAAAGGGGACATACTGTATTTTATGATGTTTGAACACTGCTCTCTCTTGAAGGCTACATTGAGTTTTGAAACTTTCATATCGAGTGGGTTCATGTGAAAAACATGATACTTGCACAGAAACGTAACTTTTGAGTGACTTATAGGGTTGGTTACATGTTATAGACAGATTTCATTATATCACATATCATAGTCTTTTCGTAGATACAGTTGTTTCTCCTAACAGTTTATTATTAGACCAGTCATCCTTTGTTGGAGAGTTTCCCTCCAGCTTCCCGCCTGACAGCGCTCAAAACATAATCGTCCTGTGTCATGAGTTTATCAGGGACTTCAACCCTGTATATCGTAACTAAAGAGCAATGAAGCTCTGCCAATATTTTCTTCTATTTGTAAATCTTTTTGTTTGAAAAAGAAGAAATCCCAGAGACCCTCATTTGCTTAATCCATTGTAACTTCTTTGTATACAACTGTATATAGCTGCAGTCAGGCTCAATTATATAAAGCGATGTTCATGACGGGTTGCCAGCGAGTTCAGGTTCAGACAACTCGAGCTGCGCTGCTCTAATCGTGTGACATGTGCCTCGCTCTCCACAACCCGGCAGTCTGTTCAAGCTGCAGACATTTCCCATCTCTCCCCTTGCTCATCAATGCCCCTGCTGCCCTGCTTCAGTATCGCCCGTCGATTCAGCTCCTCCATCGACCCACCATCCACCTGCAGGCTCCGACGGGAAGACAAAAGACATTTGCTCATTATTCCACATTCTATTAATTCAATCATCTCAGGGGAAGGGATGAAGTTGGAGCAGAGACACCAAAGTCTCCCTTCTGCTGCTGCAATTAACAGTTCAAACGTGACTTGTCTGACTGAACTCGTGAACAGTGGCGTTGCTTTTTGGATGTTCCGTTATATAATCATGAGGATATTAAATGTTTGTTGTCTCGTGTGCAGCAGTGAGCAGCTTATTTACTAAAGTCATCACTGACCTGGAGGTGTATGAAGATTTTTCCTCTAAGCATCCATATGTTCCAGAGATGTTTACATACAAGTATCTGTCTTTCCATGTAACAGGAAACAGATACTCAGATACCACAGCTTTTGTTTTTTCTATCCCAGGCCCATTTTCCTCTATCTGAGAAACGATATCACTTCCACATGAGGCTGATCAACTGTAATTTGCGTCATCATATGTAAATCTTATTACATTTTTGGGCATTTCACATACATCAAATCATGTTTCCTTTCTTCCGGGCTGCCACTGGTTTCTGTTCATTTCATTCTTGTGTGAAAATCCACTTGTGGAGTCTTCAGGCTGGTTTGGGCGAGGTAATACATCCCAATGAGCCTCACGTCTGCATATATTTTGTCAAAGTTACATTATCGTTGCTCGGTAACACAGTTTTAAGTGCAGCTTGATTCAGGAAGTCTGTGCTCCATTGCCATGCAACAATAAGGTTAACTTTGACAAAAATAAATGCAGACGTAATACTTGCCGTGATGAATTATGAAAGTTGGCCGGGTTTTTAATTCTCTGCGGATGTGTGTTCATACCACGGTGAAATGAATGGACACCACAGGCTGCATGGTAGGAAGGGAAAACACTGTTATTTCTCGGAGAAGGTCAGCGGTAATGACGACTGTACAGTTTTTGTTGTAATTGGGGTAAAAAATGCAAAGAAACCCTCTGGAGTGGTTCATTAAGTGAAAATACAGAGAAGAGGAGCTGGCTGCACTGTTAACATCATGCAGGTACATAAGATCTCAGCTCGTATAACGCTTTAAAACTTCTCACTCAGTTTCTAGATTAAACCTCAAAAACAAAGAATTGCTACTGAATTCTACCTTATTCTGACTTCACAACACTTTAAACGTGCAACACAAACTTTTCTTGTTCATTTAGCGTTGTTTTCCTCTGCCTCTTTTCCCCTTAATTGCACTCATTTGTTTCTCAGAAGCTCAACCTCTCTGAAATGATTTTGTGTCTTTATCGCTTAAGTGCTAAATGGCTTAATGTTCCCAGTGTCCCCATGCGCTTTGTGTTCGAATGAAAGAGCAATGCACAATGTGGACACCAGAGGGCAATGTCCCCCCACGTAAAAGCACAGAATCCATCAGTGTCTCAGTGCAGGACACCTCCAGTTTAGATACTTGCACAAACCCTCAGATAATAACACGACAATAATCGTCTCCAGCGCCGTGCTTCGTGGTTGTTATTATTTTCTTAGAGTAAAGTAAGATTCCTGGATCTTCACAGTTGATCCCTTATCGAGCTGCTCAATATGTAAACAAAGCAATTAACCAGAGCCATTTTTTAAAGCACCAGCGAGACAGGCTCATTTATTCATCATAACAGATAGGACCTCGATGTATCACAAGTAAACATCATTTTGCTGGCTCATAGTCAGTCTTGAACTAAGTTAATAGGTATTTAATTACATTGATGCATCATATAATTGGCAGCATCGGGGAGGGAGACAAACTGGGGCAGGCGGCCTGGATTGGGAATTAAAGAGATGTATTTATCTAAAGCCTGTCTGATTACCTGGCAGAACCTCACAGACAATAGGGTAATAAATCTTCAGTTCACTGTTCTCATCTCCTGTGAATGACTTGCAATGTGGATGCACTGACTGAGTGTGTGTGTGTGTGTGTGTGTGTGTGGAGCAGCTTATTAAAATGTGTAATAGATTTACTGACCCTGATATGCCACTAGAACAAAAAGTAATTATTCATACTGTGTAGAGCAGTCTAATTTTAACCAGTGGAAAGATTTTAGAAAGAGCGAGATGGAATTAGTGAGGCATTGCTAAGGACTCAAATAGGCTCCAGGAAGGCGTTTTGCTCTCTTGTTAAATGACTGCTTCATCAAGGTGTGAAAAACAAGAGTTACTTCTGGAAGAAAAAATTAAAGTATAATTTTATTATAGTCGGGCATTCTTTGATTCACAACAGCGCATCCTCACTGGACTTTTACATCACTTAATCATGTTGTCTTGAACTGATGGTAAACCTGAGGAGTTCCCTGTGATAGAAATAGCAGGATCCATTTTGTTAAATGTCACCTCCACACCATAAGCCCGCCGCCCTTTTCCTCCTGATAAGGTTTCCGTTGCCGTTTAATAGCCTGCTGCTTTCTGTGCAGCAGCTTTGGTTCTCCGTGTGTCATATCAACATTTGCACCTCTTTAGAAAAGAGGCAAAAATTCTGATTCATAATTTAGGCTGTTGGATGAAATGACTCGCAGATGAAATATTGATGACTGTGGAATATTGCTGTGCAGCCGCGGCTAACACGGTCCTCTCTGCTCTGTCACTCCTCCTCATAGATTTCCCAGGTTCTGCTAAGTGCTCTGAACCAGGACCTCATCCAGTTCACACTCAAGCCGGGGGTGCAGGTGAACGTATATGCCACGCGGCTATCTCCGGGTGAGTCTGCCCCACTCTTAATGTTAGCCTGATCCATTTTGGGGAAAGAGGTGCCTTTTGAGTGGTTGTCTCTTATTTTGGGCCACACATTGTGCAAGTCTTCCAGTCTGGAGATGAAGAGAGTTGGTCTGCAAGCAAAGAAATACTCTTAATATATGTATCCAGGACTCCCCGCACAGGAGTAATGGCACCGAGTGGATTTTCCCGGTGACAAAGTAGCCTAATCTAACCCGTAAAGAAATGTTCCACTGCTGCCTATACTTCATATTTTACATTTAGTTTACACTTACTTAGTGCTGAAATCAGTTAATAGTTCAACCAGTTGAAAGAAAATCAATCAGCAACTATTTAATAATGTAGTTCATCAAGCATAAATGGCAATGTTTGATTTATTGTTTTAAGTCATTTCAAACAGATTATATTAACTTTTCAATAATTGGCTTCACAAAATAGTAAATACCAAAAGTCAACTTATAAATAATGGATGTTTTTCACTATTTTTGGATATTTTACTGACTAAAAAACTAGAATGTACACACCTCCACCGAGGCCCATCAGTCCTCTTATAACGCTGCATTTAAATTCACTAGATATGGATTTTTATTTGGATCTTTACCAAATTGCAAACTCTCAAAGATATCAGTCCTCTAAATATGACAGATTTTTTAGATCCCTGATTTATTCCCTGGGAAATTGGTGAAAACTTCAAAACAAACGCTTTGCAATGTTAAAGAAGAAAATAATTGTTCCATTTCCCCACTGATCTGGAAACAAAACCTCCTGCACAGGTTAAACGACTCAATGTTTATTGGACATCAGCTCTCCTGCTCGTGGTTCTCAAATATAGTCAGTGATGATTCTCCTCCATTGCATAATAGGATTATTATAGAATTTATATCCATATAAGATGAAAAAAAAAGCATTTGCCCTGAATGTGCTCTCATTTTCTCTTTCACTCTTTCTCCTTCAAAGCTCCTCTCGTGGACAGCAGCGATAGCGGCCACAGCGGCACTGCAGTCATCCTGCTCGTTTCAGTCGTGCTGATGGGATTGGCTGTGTTTGTAATATATACGTTTAAAAGGTACAGTATACTGGATGTGATATATTACAACCACAGCCGCTGGGAAAACAGCTAGATAGGTGTGAAAGCACATCGTCGAGAATATCAACAATAAGATAATGTTACTGCTGTTTTATTTGTGTGTGTGTGTGCACGGTGTGTGCACGGCGTGTTTTGCATTTGCATAATGGCCTTATATAGAGTCGGCCCCATTATCTACAAGCCAGCACCTCGCTGCTGAACTCCTTAAAGTTTCCAGAAGTATTCAGACTCCATATATCTCTCAGTTATGGTCATCCGCAGCGCAATAATAGCTTGAGGAATAAGACGATTCCCCTCTGTCTCAATCTGCAGAATATTACGGGGAATGACAGTCTAATCAATTCTCCCAGAGAGCTGAATGGGTGTCATAGTCCTGCAGTTATCAATATTCATCTATCTGACAATGTGAGGGTTGACCTTTCGGAAATGCTAAACACAGCCATTCAAGGTGAGGCATACTCTGCAGAATGGCAGAGAAGGTTGAGGAGATAAGTCCTGAGACAACATATATTATACAGTGAGGGACATACAGTAAATAGCATCCTCCTCCGCAGGTAATCCCACATCAGTCACCGGGGGGGTTCACTTTGTCGGTAGTTTGTGGAATTTTAGTCATTATAAAGTAAAACACCACTTAGCTTTAACTTTCTGGATTATAATTACTACATTAAGAAATCAACGTTGAGTCTCTAAAGCTGCCTCAGATGTCACAGCACCAGCTGTGGCGCAAAATCACAGGGGGCTGAATCTGAAATTAGAAATGCAAGATGTTAGTTTTAAGCAGAATTGGAGGGTTGGGGTGCATCTGAGGGAATGAAAAATTGATTGAAAACTGAGGTGAACAATATGAAAGTGAGAGAGCAATGCCCAGTGGAACGCAAAATGCCCCAGTTTCCAGCTTTCAAGAGCTCCTCTCTCATCCTTTAACAGTTAAAAATAGCGGGTGACACATTATGCTGAGTGAAAACATTAGTGAAACAGACCTGATGGCAGGTTTCCATTAAGTTTTTTTAAAATAAAATCTGCTTTTTTTTTTTTTTTCTCCTTTTTTTCTTCCTCCTCTGCACGGCCTGCAGGAAGTTCCCGGGCATCAACACTTACACAGCGGAGCAGCCTGACAAAGAACAAGAGGTCATCCCGACAGTGACCTCCATAGCCGTCCCAGACCCTGAGGGTGACAAGCTGACTTCACTGGATCATGTGGATGTACAGCTGGACTCAAAAAGCAGAGGTACTCATTTATTTCTTCTTTAAAGCTACAGGCACACCTCAGGAATATACAGGCTTTATTCAGATTGGTGGAAAGTCAAGGTTGTTTGTCTCACTGTATCAGTCAGTCTGTGGTATTAGACCTGTAACAAACTCTCACTCCATCAACAGAACGATCAGAGCTTCCAAGCGACCCGTGTCTTGGCAACTGGTCATAAAACGATCAGAAAAGCTCAAAAACAATGTCATTTCATTTTTGTAGAATCCAGAGGTAGAGGTTTGGAGATAAAGAGATATCTTTGTGATATCTACTGCTGCACCATCACAGTGGAGTCGTATGAAATTTCATTATGTGTTCTGATAGATTTTGGGAAAATGCAATCGCATTTTGAAACTTCAACATCGGCACGTCTTTCCTGCAACAATTCACCCATTACTCTTGATCATCCGTAGAACGCAATGTGAACTGTTCAATGTTGTTCATGTAAAAACCGTTCAGGGTGACACCTGTAAGAGTGAAAACATAAAGGTAAAGCAATTTGAATTTTCACTCTATTTTCCATTAACCTAAATTGAAGTCGATTTCGTTTGGACTTTTTATTCCAGAGTTGCAGATACAGTGATGCTGTGTGTGTCTACGTGTTAATTCACTCTTCATCATTCTAGCTGTGTACTGATTTAGCTTTTCATATTGCAGAGATTTTACCAGTTACTGTTAGGAAGCAAAGGAAATTGTATATAAGAAGAAATTTAAACTTTTCTCCTCTACTTTTCTAACTTTTGTTCATAAACTCTGTTGCCAGTTTAGGTCCACTCACAGACTGTATATACAGACGGACGACTCTTCTCCACCTCCTCTTATTATCCAGAAATTAGGCCGAAATATCCTGGATACAAATACTACTGTCTTTCACATTTGGAGCCAGAATATGTTTCACATCTGGGTATGGAGCTGTGGTAGCGAGGTGCCGCCGACACACGCTCTCGGCCAATCATCAGTGTGTCTCAGCTGTCAATCGTGAAGTTTCATCCCGTTGTTATAGCATCAAATTACTAATTCAAACCAGGCTAACAAGAATAATGAGCACTTGGATCTGAAATGACAGAAAGATATTGTTATTATTTGACATGTCCACTAAAGGGATTTTTGACTTATACAGCAGCACAGCCACCAGGGGGCGATTGAGACTCTTTCTGCTTCACTTACGGGGACCGGTCATGTCATCAATCTTTAGAAACAGTCTATGGCTCCAACTGAATACAAATATTTGATTCTGACACACACAAATGACAATGAAAGAAAAACAATTCACCATCTACCAGACCAGGAACTGCAGCATCACTGTTATCAACCACTGGAAGTTCCAAATGTTTTTAATGCTCTGATCATCACAAACCTTTCATTCATCTCATATGTGTTGGATTTATGGCAGTAAACACAAATAAAACTCGGTGAATAGCCAGATACTACAGGGAAAACAGGTTTTTTTTGTAAACTTTGCAAATATAAACCAGGTTTTCACTTGTTGTGAAGCGCTGATGCTACTCGTCCCCGTTGTGTTATCATTCAAGCTGCCAAGATACAGTCATTACTGTGCGCTGTACTTATTTGTCAGCCTGAGTTTGACATAGTGAGGTATTAGTATTCACAGGTAAGTGAAGCAGAATCAAATGCGAGCTAAAGTGATGAAATGTCTGGGTGAATTATTTGACCCAATAAAATAATTAGTGCATCAGGAAAGTAGCAGAGTGGTGAAAGCATTTTCATCAAGAAATATCTATGAGGTTCCAGCTGATTTACCTCCACCCGCAGCTAAACAATCGACCCATCCAAGATAAATGTGTTTGCCTACAAAAAAATAAGAAAATACACCCACATGCAAATGGCTACATAAAATTCCTCCTGTCTTTTTTCTCCCCTTTCTTCTCCCTCGCCAGGCTACCTGCCATCTCACACAGACATCAAGCTCTCTGATGAAGCGCCCCATGTGTTTTAATGTTGAGAGTCTATGACCGACTCAAAAGCAATACATCTTCTTTGGCAGTTACTTCCAGCAAGCTATGAAACCACGGTCACAATGAATAGTCTCGAGTGTTTTGCTACCCATGCATGGATGGACCAGTTCACACTGTGCTGCCTAATCCCTCCGAGGAGACTGTACAGATTTATACTCGCTTCTTGGAAGAAAAAAAAGAGGGACACTTTTTGACTGAAAATACTTGTATTTTTGCAAGGACATTGATCTTTTTATGTAAATAATAACATCCATAATGGAGGAGGTAAGAGTTATTTGTCTCAGCTGCGTTACAGCTGCGTCTGCTCAAATATGAAAATATCAAACGGGGGAACAGAAGTGATGTGTAATAATATCTTGGAGAAGAAAAAAAAAAATGCTTTTATTCCTGCTCTTTGGGGCTCGTGTTTGTGAAGTTTACTTTGTTTAACTATGTGGAAGTAGCTTATCGGAGTTAAGACAGTGAGGGAAGCAGATTCATTAAGCTCTGTACAATCAGTTAATCTTATCAGCACATTCTCATCAAATGAAAGCTTGCAATATCCAGGAGATGAAGGAGGAGGGCCTCTAGTCCCAGATCTGAGTATTCCATCAAGTCTGTCTCTCTGCTGCTCCGAATGTTCTACATGTCATAACAAAAATATCAAAACAGAGGATATAGGTGTAGAGAGTGGATGAGAAACGGAGCAATCCCTCTTGTTTAGGAGACTAAAGTTGTTTTAGAGACACTGGAACAAAATGTTAAACCCACTTTAAAACAGATTATGCGCAAATCTTCTAATCTAAATCATGCATATGGATTAGAGTCGCAGCAGCAGCCTTACTTTTGATTTGATTTACAGACAAACAAAAGCCATGACTTTTTAAACTTGCGCTTCATATTCATTTGTTGCCAGGAGCATTTCTTGTACATTCTGGTTTCTAGAAGAACAATGTTTGATATTATGTTTATTTCTCTGCATGAACAAAGATGCCACATTGTGCAGCTCTTCAATGGTAATGCAGCAAGAAAAAGAAGAAAAAGAACAGTTTTAATTAGTCATTAGTTCAAGGTTTATTCACCGGTAGATTTAGAGACTGCAGCTTGAGCTCAGATCCAAAATATCTGACGTGTTTTTTGTTGTTTCTTTGAACTGATCTCACTGTGAAGGTTGTGGTGCCCTCACTATAACTACACCAGGTTGGTTGCAATGTTTTATTCATTCTCGACTGTTTCGTGTTAACCACAATGATACGAGCAGCTCCACATGGTTTCTCCTCTCAGTTTACAGTAAAAGCAGAAGGAGCTTGCGGTCTGTTCTAGGTTCGCCCCCCCCCCCCCCTCGTGAGGACGCAGCGGACAAAAGGGTGCAGAATTGTTCGTCTCCTTGGCTGCGAGGGACGCGCGGATAGAGAAAGACGTATCTTCTGTCAATAAGGCTCAGCCTACACACAGGGCTTTGGTCAGCCGCTGTCTCTTTGGGATAAGTACTGAAGTTTTTCTTCATCAAACTTTTCTTTTTAAGTGTTGTCAGCATCATATGTCAGGAAGACAAATTGACTAGAGGCCTCTCCATACTTCTTCCCTCCAATCCTCCATTTGAGCCTGAAGCATAAATAAACTTGTGCTCACGATCAGATGAACTCTGTCTCCCCACACCGATACATCAGAGGAGTTTTTACTCGGTGCTCGACATTTATTTACTCAATTCTTTTTGTTGTCCCACTAATCAACCTGTGAATATGATTGTGAACATATTTGCATGATGCTTTTATTTTTTTCTATTTCAAGTTACTTGAAAATGTGTCTTTACTAGCAGAAATGAAATGTTAGAAGTGTGAACTGCAGTATTCTCCATTTCTCAAGAGGCTAGACGAGTCATTCATTACAAGTGATGTGTTTAATCAGTGGGTTGTTACTGTGTTTTTCATCTGATCTTGCAAAAAGTAACCTTGGTTGCGGAATAAAGCGAAAACACAGCATCGACGCTGCGTGGCTGGTTGAACTCACTCATTTCTAAAAGCATGAACAGCTCATGTTTGCCGTCTTCTTCGATCTGTTGGCTGCAGCTTTTAGTTTGACTTTTGATTTAGTCGATCAAGTGACTTCATGAAGGGCAAAACTGTTCGACTCCACCTCAACTGAAGCTTTGCTCGAGAGACGCTTTCACTTTGTTTTAATTTTTGCTTTTCCTGCTTTGTCTCTAACAAGTTATAAAAGCGTAAAGTTTCAGTGGAGCGACAGTGGGGCTGAGCGGGAGGACAGTGAAAAGCACCAAGTAGCCTGGAGTGATTCTAATGGGCTCGTTGCTCGGCTCTCCCACTGTGCTACAAATTAATTATCTCCTCCCCGGGAAATCGACACACACACACACAATCAAGGAAGATTTTCCCAGACTGGGTAGCACCTTGAATGAAAAATGTCCCACAACAATAACCCACAGCAATATTGTGTTAGCCACAGTGTGAAATTGATGAGCATGTTTCCTTTCATTGAGTGTTACATTACAGTGTCTGGCTGCAGCGAATCATCCATTAGTGATTGTCACCGTTCAATTTGATTGTGCACCGCCGAACATCCCAGGGCAGTTAGAGAGAGGCCTTGGTGTTAATTCAGACTGAGAGCAGGAGCAAGAATAAGAATCTCGGGGCGCTGATGGCTGCTGGAGTGATGAAGATTGGTGTGTGAGATATGAAGCTGCTGAAGTGGCAAACAAAATGCAAAACAGAGAAACAAGGGCCTGGTCGCTGCTGCGCTCGTTTGTATGTGTGTGTGTGTGCGTGCGTACGTGCGTGGTTTCAGCCAATCCACCACACAATCCTGTCCTCCAACCTCAGTGTCACTTTGCCAAGTTAATGTGCAATACTTTAAAGTACTAAAGCCAGAAATTCTCCTTTACAAAATCATGTATCTCATCACTCGACTACAGCCGCGGTAATTGTTCCCATTAAATAGAAACCGCCCTTAAATGGTAACATGAGTGACGGAGTGACGGGGCTAAAACGAAGCTCGGTCTAGGTGTCAGATGGGAATCTTCACATGGGTGTTATCACACTTCTGTCCATTAAATTCTGCCTCAGAGCCTCTTTGGGATCATTAAAAGTGGTTTGCTGCGATGATACACTGTCTGCTACGAGGCACCTGCGTTTCAGATAAGACCGCCTCTGTGTTGTAAAAACAAAGCTTCATGAGCCCATTTGTTTCCAGGTTTATGGTCACGACGACACGGCCATTTCTCACTCACTGACAGCCCAGAAAAAGGCTGCTTCTGCATCATTCTGCTAAGGAAACAAAAGCAAGAACCATATTAAAATCTGAAAATCTGCAAAGTGTACTGTAGGTGCATGTGACAGAAAAGATGAAAGAACAGGGTTCCATATAAAAATACATTTATTTTGAACAATTTCAAAATGGCCATTTGTTCACAGTAAGAAATATGATT